TTTTGGAAAGGATCAACCATTCCAGACCATTAAGAACATTCATAGCCAGGCTCAGTGGCTCAGCCTGTAATCCCGCGCTTTGGGAGGCTGAGGTGAGTGGATTGCCTGAACCCGCGGGTTCGAGACCCGCCTGGGCAACTTGGCGAGACCTCATCTCTACAATAAATCAAAAATTAGCTGGGTGTGGTAGCATGCACCTTTAGTTCCAGCTACTTGGAAGGCTGAGGCGGAGGGATCGCTGGAGCCCAGCAGGTCGAGGCTGCAGTGGCCGGGAGTGGCCACCACACTCCAGTCTGGGTGACAGAGTGAGACTCCAACTCAAAACAAAACAAACAAACAAACAAACAAAAGAACATTCATGATTCATGGGAGGAGGTCAAAATACCAACATTAGCAGGAGTTTGGAAGAAGTTGATTTCAACCTTCACGGACTTTGCGGGTAAAAGACTTTAGTGGAGCCTGAAGATGTGACTGAATTGCTGCAATCTCATGATCAAATGTTAACAGATGTATAGTTGCTTCTGGATGAGCAAAGAAAATGGTTACTCAGAATCTACTCCTGGTGAAGATGCTGTGAATATTGTTGAAATGGCAACAAATGATTTAGAATATTACACAAACTTCATTGATAAAGCAGGGGCTGGGTTGGAGATGATTGACTCCAGTTTTGAAAGAAGTTCTCTTGTGGTAAAATGCTATCAAACAAATTCGCACGCTGTAGAGAAATATTTCATGAAAAGAGAGTCAGTCAAGGTGGCAAGCTTTATCCTTATGTTCTTTTAAAAAAATTGCCACAGTCATCCTAACCACTACCCTGATCTGTCAGCTGTCATCAGCACTGAGGCAAGATTCTCCACCAGCACAAAGATTAGGACTCACAGAAGATCCAGGTGATTGCTAGAATTTTTAAGCAATACTTCAAAATTAAGGTATGTGCATTTTTTTTCAGACATAAGCTATTGCACTTAATAGGCCACAGCATAGTGCAAATATACAGTGGGAAACCAAAGCATTACTCACTTGATTGTAGTGACCTGGAGCCAAACCTATGTTATCTATTGTACTACTATTGGGCAGTTTAAAAGTCATGTCTGGGCTTTGATTTATCTTTGAATTTCATTTTGCTTAAGTTATTAAGAAGTAGGTCTTTCTATCCCACTGACCCACAAGATTGCCACTTTAGGACTGAAAACATTTGTCACATTTATTCAGCTGCTTCTCTCTTTCTTATGTTTGTCTCTTAGTCATTTTGGTTATTTGAAGCTTGCTTTCTAGTGGATTCTTAGGAAATTCTCATGGAAACAATTTTCTTTGATTTCTTACATGTTCATGTTTGTCTGTGGCCTTAATATCTGAGTAATCAGTTTTCTTCTGGATATAAAGTCCTTCGTTCATTTTATTCTCTTAAATATCTTAAAATCTTTATCTATTGCCTGATGTCATTAACTTTTGCTGAGGAAGAATTTGATGACAATTTGGTTTTATTTTTCTTATTCATAACTTAATCTTTTACCTGGATGCCAAGATAATTTTCAAAAATTTAAAGCCCAATAATTTTGCTAGAATATGTCATGATATTAGATACTCATGATTGATTCCCTGGCACATTGTGTAGTATTTAAAATTTCAGATTTGAGTCTCTTTTATTTTTAGGAAAATTTCTTAAATTTTAATTTCTAGTATTTGTTTAATTCCATTGTTTGGGTTTCTTCTTAGCAGTTCATATCATATGTATCTTGGATCTTTATGTACCGTCTTTTTTTCTGGTCCGTAACTTTCTCACACATTTTTTTTCCTTCCTTTCTCCCTCCTTTCCACCTTTCTTGCCTCCCTCCTTTCCTGTCTTCTTTCCTTACTTGATTTGCTTTTATTTAAGTTTCCATTACTGTTGTGTTTATTTGCTCCTGTGTTTCTTTTAGTTTAGTCTTCATTTCAGGCTTATTGAGGTATAATTGACAAATAATAATTGTATATATTTAAGATGTACAATATGATGATTTAATATACATATACACTGTGAAATGATTACCAGAATCAAGTTAATTAACATATTCATCACCTCACATGAATACTTGTGTGTGGTGAGAGCCTTAATATCTATTTACTTAGCAAATTACCAGGTGACTATAGTTAATAATACTGTGTGATTACTGAATGATTTTTTTCTAATTTGCTCCTGAGTTCGATAATCCTATTTCTGAGTTTTCAAACTTAATTGATATTGTTCTTCCATGTCTCCTATTGTTAAAAAAGTTTCTTATGAATCAATACATAGCTAATATATATCGAGTATCTACCAAGTGCCAGGCATGTACATCCATCATTACATCTAATCCTCATAGCAGCTCTATGGCAAAGATACTAGATCCATCTCTTTTTGCAGATGAGAAAACAAAAGTAACATGGTACATAGCTATTAAGTGGCAGACCCAGTCATGACATTTTGGGAGGAAAATTTGTTATATAAGAACTAATTACTAAGAGCTGTTTATAGGTTTGATGCTTTCTTACCTCTGTAGGGGAATCTTTAGTTCATATATGTGCAGCAACCCATTATCTTTGACTTTTCTAAATACAGAACAATATAGTCTATTAATTAGCGATTGCCATCTTGCTTATCAAATGCACCATCTATTTGGGCGCTTGAAGAAATGATGTTGGGAAGCAGATTTCCCTTGACTGCACTTATGATGAACATGAATTTCTTTTCTACTCAGTTTCAAATCAGAAAGTATCCTTCAGAGGAAAATTTGGGACAATCAGAAGGTGGCAGGAATGATCAAGCTGCATTGGAGAACAAAACCTTGTAAAACTGTGATGAGAGAGGAGTAGCTGAATATGCCATAACTGAGTTCTGTTGGCCAGCCTGTGAAAACAACTGCAGGACATGTGCATGAGCTCTTAGACTATGAGCTTGGGAGGGCAGGCCCCATACCTTAAGCCCCTCTCTCCTCTCCCGAGCTGGCCATGTTGTGTAAACAGAACCCGAGTAGGCTTCCCTAGATGTGCCATGGGTGTGTTCCTGTAAATCTCCATGAGAGTGCCACTGTGGCAGGGTGGAGCAAGAACAGGATGAAGTGTCCAGAGGGGCTGGAGACCTTTGTGTGCTGGACCCAATCAGATCTTGGTTCTGTGTGATGTGGCTTCCTCATCTTTCAGTGAGGACTCTCACAGTTTGCATGTTCTGAGATCCCATGTTTCAAATGCCCGGACCACCAAGGCCATAGACTTCCAGACCATGTTCTAAAGGATGGGTTTTGTATATTATGCAGCCCATAGGAATCCACGGGGAGACTTTTTCTTTCTTTCCTTCTTTTTGGAGGTAGGAAATGGAATTCCAGATGACTGGCAGTTTGTTAACTGCAGCTGAATTAAGTGTGCTTAATTTGGCTGAAGCTTATTTGCAGACATTTTAAGAAATAAATCTGGGAAACCATTTGTGATTCTTTGCAGTCAACTTTGAAAAAAAGAAAATGGCTATATTTTAGATTTATTTCATTTTCATTTATTATAAAAGTAATACACGCTTGCTTTAAAAAAAAAAAAGCCAGAAAAGACAACACAAAATAACAATTTCCTGTACTCCTACCACCCAAATTCTACTCCTGTATTTTTTTTTTTTTTTTTTTTGGCGTATTATCCTCTCAGATTTTGTTTCTGATATATACATAGCTGAATGGAAAGGAGGGTGGGTGGATGGATGGATGGGAAGATACACAAAATAAGCGTTAAAATGAAAATTGAATGATACTAATTGTCCTTTTTAAAATCATGAAGCAATATATAGCAAGGAAAATTTCCACATTTGTTAATGTAGACATGCTAGTTTTTAATGTCTGTGTAGCATTTCATAAGTTTGATGAACCATTAATTTATAAAAGCTGTTTTCTATTAATGGGCATTTAGTTTGTTTCCATTTTTTTCTCTTATAAACAGTGCAGAAAATATATTTATCTATGTGCATTTGATAATTGGTCCTGTTATTCCATGAAGATAAAATTCTAGAAAGGGATTTAAACATATTCAAGTATCAGGTTGTTTAGATACAAACCAGAACTGGTTCTTATCATTGCATTTCATCTTTGCCTAGTTGACAAGTAGAAAAAATGCTAATTTGCTTTAATTAGACTTTTAAAATTACTGGTGGGTTTGAGTAGTACATACATTTATTGGGTTTTTAGTTGTTTTTATGTGGATTACTTGTTTGTAACAATAGTCTACTGTTCTACTGGATATTTATATTTATTTTGTTGATTCATAAGAGCTATTTATATGTTAGGAAAATTAACCTGTGTTTCTCATGTATACTAACAATAGTTTTTCTTTCATTTATTTTTTCCACTGCATAAGAGCTACTCATGTATTATGAAAATTAACCTATATTTCTTATGTATATTAACAACAGTTTTTCCCCACTCATTCTTTTTCACTGTTGCTTGTGTTTGTTTGTTTGTTTGATTTGCTCAAACAAAAATCAAGTATTTACATTGTCAGACCTAGTCATTATTTAAACTGTTTCTGGCTTTAGTGTTTTCCTTGGAAAGGCCTTCTCACACAAAGATTATGTATTATATAATAATCATCTTAATTTTGTTCTACTATTTTTATGGTTTTATTATTCTATTTAGTGTACATTTTACTTTATACAGGGTTTATCCTAAAGCAAGATAGCAAGTGGAAGGCTACTTATATTTTTTCCAAAGTGTTCATCTAGTTATTTCAACATTATTTATCAGATGGTTAATCATTTTCTTGGTTTAGTCAAGTCTTTTTTTTTTTTTTTTTTTT